GATGTGAAATAGATTGCCCTGCTCCGAGTGAAAGCGTGATTCTCGTACCGACGATAGTGAAGCTTTATGGAATCACGACTTCTAAACTGGGACAAACCGACGGATACCTCGTCCTGCTGGAATAAGAACCATGTCGGTGTAGCAGGACATCGAAATGAGATGGTGAATGGAGGAAATAAGGAGTATCAATCACCCACAGTTAAGTCCCCTTCTAGTTATAGCAGACTGATACTGGCCAGTTAGGTATGTTGTAATTGGATAGGTTATGGGTGATCCAGCTACATCAAGTGACCACCAGAGAATATCTGGTAAGTGGTGAGATTATGTACAAGCGTTTTTCCTTGATGGATATATCCATGTGTAACCTACCCCACCCCCTTCATTCAGTCTAACTAACATAATCTATACAGTCCACAATTAATTAGTAGCACCGTACTTGTGGGTGCTATCCAATCCATACTGGTCTCGGATAGATATGGATAAGATTGTGAGGTCGAAGGAACCACCTGCCGTGACCAGGGGTGGTTAAGTTTTCTCACATGTCTACACGGGGTGACTACGGTAAACAATATGGTTGTCTCCCAATGAGTTTACTTGTAACCATGTAATGTTGAGGTACATAAAGGTAATCACCCTAGAAAATTTTCCATATCTGCCCGCTGGTCCTTCCTGAACCGGATGCAATCAGTGAAAAAATTAATTGAATTAATTACTTAATAATTAAGTGACTGATTGAAGGAAGTGGGTATAGGGTACACAAGTTTAATCGATCGTGTGGTGGATGATAATTAGCCCAATTAATTGCTAGCACATGTGTGGCTAGGATTTATACAAGAGTAAAGTGCAAGAATTACTCTTATAAGGCGCCTACTTAAGTTGTATAATCAGTACTTAATAATTCTCTAACCATGACTGAACCTAATGGAGTTAATGTGGCTGACAAGTCCGTGAATTTTGGAGTAATGAAAGCATCATTACAGGCTATTAAAGGCCATGTGACGAAGGCATTTGATTTAATGAATCAAAGAACCGTGAACCCTAATGAATTAAAGTTATATTTAGAAGCTTTAGAGAGGAGATTTGATTGGTACAAATTGTGGTTTAAAGACTGTGAAAGAGATCTGCTGGAGAATTGTGCAGATGGAATGGAAATGAATGTTTTAATTAATCAACATTACGAATTGGAAGAAAAACTGTCTTGTAAAAGTAAGGCTTTGAATAAATTAAAGGGTGTAAGCCAGGCAGTTGGTCAACCTATTAATGCAACGGGTGGGTTTGCCAAAACCTCCAGAGTACGGTCTGGAGGAAATCAGACTAGGTCGGCAGGAATTAATTGTTCAATTGCAGACCAGTCAGCCAAACAGTTCTAAGGATATAACACATAATGACTCTGAAGTATCTGTCAAGTCGCAAAAGGGAAAAATAATCCCAGTGGTAATAACATAGTTAAGAGTTAAATAGGCACATATCAAGTCAGGAATCAGTAATAGTGGTTCCTCACATCAAGGTAAGAGGAATAAGTACCTCAGTAAGTGTAACCCAGTTAATAAGAGGTCAGGCAAGGAAAAGAGAGACTGCCTCTTCTGCCAGGGTACTCATTTCACTAAAAATTGTAATGCCTATAATTCATGGGATATTAAAGTGGAAAGAATGAAAGAACTTGACAGATTTATCAGATGTCTAGACAATCATAATGTAAAGGATTGTCAAAACCAAATTGAACAGTTGCTATCAATGCAACAAGGGAAGGCACCCTACAGTTATGTGCAGGGTTGTATGTGATTCTTATAATAATGGTGACAATAATGATAATGTTAATAACCCTGACACTATAGTGACTGATGTAAAGGTTGCAGCTAATGGCAATAATGATGGCCTAGCTGAGGTAGCCTTGCCGGCATTGGATGTAATAATTCAGGATAAAGGGCATAAATCCAAAAGCATGCGGCGTCACTCTCCTCGACACTGGTACGGGCCATGTAATATATAGCAAACTACCGCCTAGTAATAATGACTAGAGGAAGTAGTGAATACAGTCACGGTGTCTTGCTCATAAAAGGTCAACCCAGTACAAGTATTCTTCCATCGAGAATGATGTTGAACCAGTCTAATTTGTGGGAGCTGGACAGCATAGGGATTAATATATATGAGGAAAGTCCAAATGATTCCTTTACTCAGGAACAATACCTGAAGGATGTTAAATGTGAATCTGGACATTACTGGGTGCGACTTCCGTGGAAGCTCGACCGTCCAGAATTATCTACTAATTATAGGATGGCGTATGGACAGTTAAAGGGCCCAGCTCCGCGAACTGAGCAAGACACCAAAATTGTTGACTGCTTATAATGATATAATTAATAAATAGTTAAATAATAAATTGTTCTTACTTCAGGCGACGATAAATGCACACCTTAAGTGCACAGGTGGTCCACTGAGCGAAGCAATTGGATAAATAATCTTATGTGGACAATTTCCGGGTGTGACGTCAACTGAAGAGGAACTAATGAGGATATGTAAAGGGGTTAATGAAATAATGCAGTAAGGTGCTGGGACTGACTTGGGACACTGAGAGAGACTTGTTATTGTTAAAGTCTCATAATTCCAGTATGCCCAATAAATTAATCCAGGGAGCATAGGCTTATGCCCTGAGAGAATGGAACAGTAATTAGTCCATTTTGAGGGATCAATAAATATGGATGGCCATGGAGTTGAAGTGCCTATATGCAGTAATGTGCTGGGGCTGACTTGGGATACTGAGAGAGACTTGTTATTGTTAAAGTCTCATAATTCCAGTATGCCCAATAAATTAACCCCGAGAGCATAGACTTAGTGTCACACCTTACAATAAGAGGGAAATTGTTAATACCAGAAGCATGGAGGCTTGAGTGTGCTTTGGATGGAGCCCTACCTGAGGAGTTAACAGGTGGAAAGAATTAATGGGTGATTATGTAAATACCAATGTTGGAGTTCCCAAGCCAGGTGGCCAATGAAGATGGGAAAATTGTACTCCACATTATGTAAGTCGTCTAGCAACGACCTCCGCCCGGCCGCAGTATGGAAAATTTTTGATTTTCCAAAGCTATAGCGCCTAATAGGTGTTTAATGTGTCGATATGAGTCAAAAATGTATTTGACAATAGGATAGAACCAAGAGTTCCCTTTGCGCATGCGCGGATGTGCGGGGGTATAGGTCGAGCTGGGGCATGAGGGGGGCGGGAGTGTTTTGAATGTAGCGAGGAGGCTGTGAAAACCTGGGATCAGGAAATTGGCATTCACGGCGGCCTAAGGATTAATATGGGCCTCACTTCATAATAGGAAGTGTCATAACTGTTCCTGGTGAAGAGTGAGGGAACGTGATTTACGGGACCACCGTAAAAAGGTGGTAAAATTAGTGAATAATGGTTCGACCGGGTGTGACTGGTGCGCGGCCATGGTGTGTGTCCAGGGGAAATACCCATGTGTTAATCCTCACTCATCGGCCTCAGATCTTAATGGAGTGACCTCTAATGTGTATAATAATTATGAGACGTTAAATCGTCTTGTGAATGGTAATGTAATCAGTGATAATAACATTGAGTTAAGAGAATGCGGGATGTGAAATAGATCGCCCTGCTCCGAGTGAACGCATGATTCTCGTACCGAGGATAGTGAAGCTTTATGGAATCACGACTTCTAAACCGGGACAAACCGACGGATACCTCGTCCTGCTGGAATAAGAACCGTGTCAGTGTAGCAGGACATCGAAATGAGATGGTGAATGGAGGAAATAAGGAGTATCAATCACCCACCTAGTTATAGCAGACTGATACTGGCCAGTTAGGTATGTTGTAATTGGATAGGTTATGGGTGATCCAGCTACATCAAGTGACCACCAGAGAATATCTGGTAAGTGGTGAGATTATGTACAAGCGTTTTTCCTTGATGGATATATCCATGTGTAACCTACCCCACCCCCCCTTCCTTCAGTCTAACTAACATAATCTATACAGTCCACAATTAATTAGTAGCACCGTACTTGTGGGTGCTATCCAATCCATACTGGTCTCGGATAGATATGGATAAGATTGTGAGGTCGAAGGAACCACCTGCCATGACCAGGGGTGGTTAAGTTTTCTCACATGTCTACACGAGGTGACTACGGTAAACAATATGGTTGTCTCCCAATGAGTTTATTTGTAACCATGTAATGTTGAGGTACATAAAGGTAATCACCCTAGAAAATTTTCCACAACATGTACGCCTTGTAAAATCCTTCACCCGTGATGTTTATAACTATATATGCTCATACATCCCGCATTCCTCAAGTGATTTCACTAGAATACACTTCACATTCGGTGGGCTACACTTTATATTTATAATGGCACACAACCTGTTGTGATGTCACTGCTTTGGCAGGCCTACGCCTGCCTCCTACCCTTTGTTATATATTTTATTTTTCCTTTCTCCTTTTGCTTATTAACTTTTTCACTCTCACTGTAAGTTGCCCCACATTTCACTTGTTAACCAATCTCTCATAATTCTTGAACACGCGCTTCCACACTCACTTTGATCTTTGTATATTTGAATCTGTGTGGCAACAGGTGCCTACTAGGCCCCTAACGGTTTGGTACTTTGAAATATTGATGATTTCCTCTCGACTTTTTTTAACTAATAACTTTGGTTATCACTCGTAGGGTTGCTCACTGACGTTGTCACTACCACTGGTTACTGCTAGCAGTTACTGCGCCTTAAAAACACTAAGTTTCTCGGAGCCTTGTGCTCCCACGTCTGCGCGTGTCGGCTGTGTGTGTGTGTTTGTCACCTAGTTGAGGTTGTAGGGGTAGATTCCAAGCTCCTGGCCCCGAATCTTCACTGGTCGCTACTAGGTCACTCTCCCTGAACCGTGAGCTTTATCATACCTCTGCTTAAAGCTATGTATGGATCCTGCCTCCATTACATCGCTTCCCAAACTATTCCACCTGTGTGTGTGTGTGTGTGTGTGAGCGTGACAACAAACCTCACCTGTGGTGTTATCAGTCAAGCAGTTGGCCCACTGTACAGTGTTGTTGTGGCTCCTGAGGTAAAGTGTTGGGTGGAATGTAGTGAACTTTTGGCTACAGTTGAAACCCAGCTCCGGGACCAACACGGTGATATTTGTGAGGTTTTTATCATCAACCTGCGAGCATGTGGTATAAATAAAAACTTATTGTGCATTATTTATCTCGTTAATATGGCAATAAAGAGCACAGAAAATAATGAAATAAAAGATAAGTTGAAAATATGAAGTGAAAATGGCAAAGGGTAATAATAAGAAATAGTATCAAAGCAAAAATTATTTTTTCTTATGTATATATACACAACATAATTTAACATTGTTTATCATGACATCAAACATTTTATACATTTAACTTAAAATTACAACATAAAAATTATGTACTGACTGTGTGAGTTGCAGTAAAGTTGTGCCAAGCGTCTGAGATGTTAAAGTAAACTGTACACATATTATTGTATGTTCGTTGTGGAGTAAAATATTCCACTGCTAGGAGTGCAGGTGTTGTCAGAGGCTTGACCCAGCTCTGGTGGTGGTTGTTAGTGATGTGTATTGTCTTCACACCTTCTGAAAGGTTCTCTCTGATACATCCTGCAAAAAAATATGTTGAGGTATTTTGTTGATATTAATGAAACTGTGAGCTGTTAATAGCAAATAATTATTTGTGAACTGTTTGGCACATTTATCATCTATTGTAGGTCATTTATTATCATTATTATTATTATGGTGAAGGGCTAAACCCGTAAGTGTCATGCAGCACCTGAGAAATATAAGATATTCAGGTTAAATCCAAGAGAGTGGAGAGTAGCGCCAGTTCCTAAACTCTATGGAAGCTTTTCATACCGAGCCATATATTTAAGTATTAGAGACTGTAATGTACTGAACACAAGAAATTTGAATTAAAATGTCAGAATATTCAGCTCGTGCCCGACTGGAGTTTGATTTCGAATCGGCAAGAGTCGTATGAGTCTCCATGCCTCTCTTTATGCTTTAGACAGACATCTTTGTGTTAACAAACTGTTCTGGGTAGTAGACCTCTAGACGCGGTAGTATACCTTAGAGAATACTTGGTTTTGACATTAGCTGAGGTAAAATGAAGGTTCTTAACCTCTGAAATGAACTGTAAAAAAAAATTATGTTCCAATCTTGCTTAAAGAAAACAAAGCAGTGTACAAATAAGTGAGGATACGGTATGATAAGCAGTGTGAGTGTCTGACGTCAGTAGGTCATTGCTGCACAATCCTGTTACAGTAACATTTAGCATGTAGCACAACAGCAGTGTAAAATGTAAAAATCATTACAAATCTCTTGTAGCCGTGTTAGCCTCTTGACGTGTTACCCTCATAGTGGGATCTAGCTTAGGTAAAAACTAAATGTTTTTGACCCCAAAGAAATGAGTGGAAAATTGAGGAAGCAGCACGATTAGATGTTCAATAAATAATCACACATCAATGGTTTCTAAAAGGCTGATGTTTACCCCCGGAACTCTCTCCAGGTAAACTCCAGGTATAAAATAGTGTGAACACATGACACTATATAAGCAAATAAATATGCAGATATAGATAACCCTATTACATTTTTCGAGAAACCGAGGATAGCACAGTTATACACTCTCCTCGGACCTGGCTTATTGAATTCCATATTCATGGAAAGAAAAAAAAATGAAGGCAAAAACAAGTTTCAGATGCCTTAAATATGCGATCTAGATCAAATCTAAACTCAGGCGTCGTCTCACAAAGTCAAAAAAGAATAAGCTCATACATTCTCTCATCATGCATGTGACCCTTAAACAACCACAGAATGATAGTCTGGTCAGTGGTGCTGTGGTTCATAAGACAGCTTGTAATAAACACTAACAGCCTGACTGACCAGGAGGCCACCCAGGAAACCATGTCTTACGACCTGGTTATGGGAGCAATGATCCCTGGACCATCTATAGCTAGGCTAAAAAAAAAAATTATAGCTAGGCTGACCGCCTTTGACTTTTTTTTGTTTGGTATGGTACTTGTCATCAGGAGCAAAACTGTATTTGCACGAATAACGCCATTTACTTGTTTTCTAGTAATAAATAAGCTAAAAAAGAATCTTTTTTACAGTATTAATTAACGCATGTTAAAAAAACGGAAGTATGTTAATTTAATTACTATATTATATCTGTATTTAAACTTTTTAAACAAGGTAGTCAAAGACATAAAAGTACATAAAATCAGCTACTACGTCAATTATACCTTACAACACCGGTTAACATATCAGTGTTTTTAAAAGTCATTTATAAGGCTTGAGCTTGCTACCATCTGCAGCTCACAAGACTGCCTTCCCACGAGCCCCTTTGGGGCGGGGCAGATGGCAGACCAGAGGACTAGCTTCTCCCTACGAGCCCCGTGAGGGCGGGGACTGTGGCTAGGCCTGAGGACAGTTGGTCCCAAAGATGAGGGGGTAATTGTACCTCCTCCCATGGGAGACTAAGGTCTCGAGACACTCCCCAAGTAGGGAGCCAAGGCCGGGTCACCACTATTGGAAAAGACCCGGGCCGGGAAAGTACCGGCGAATGAAAAAAAAAAAGTCATTTGACTTCCGAGCGGGTCTTAACATGGGTAGGGTCTTAACGTTAATAGCATGGTAATTAATAGCATGACAGTTAATAGAGTCACAGTTAATAGGATGACAGAAAAGAGCATTGTTAGTGTCAGCAAGGCTAACATTTCTCCTTGTGCTCACTAGGTCTTTCAGAAAGAGACCGGCAAGTTTCTCGGAGAGGAGCAGGAAACAGGGTAGACTACGATAGCATCAGTAGCAAAAGTACAAACTAGATTACTACAAAGGGCATTAGTATAGCGAAAAGTAAGTTTGATGTCTAAAGGACGGTGCTTTTAAGATTTAGAATTCTGAAAATATAGGAAGGCAAAGAACAGAAGATTTAACAGAAGAGAGTTTAGGAGAGAAATTCCTTTACTACTGCTACATTACTACTATTAGTATCTGTACTATTACTTTTAATACCACTACTACTATTGCTACTACCACTACGATTACTACTACTACTACCTCTACTACTACTATACTACTACTACCACTCTCGTCCCCGCCCCCCTCTGGTTTCCTTGCCGTCGCGTCTCTCTGTGACTTGTTAATGGTTCATGTTGGACCGAAACATCGTCATAAGTTTCAGTCTCCTACATGCAAAATATCTGTGTATTGTTGCAGCCACTTTATTGTGCCTTTTTATTCTTTAATCACTATGTATCATCGTTAGACACATTAGCAACTATAATATACTGTATAAGCACAACATACAGTATAATGATTTAAGTATATATTACCTTTAGGATCACTGTTTTCGCCTAAAGTAAGATGGGTGAAGCAGACTAGCCAAACTGTGACAGCTTTCACGACACTGCTTGAAGCCATGACCTTCCAAGTTGTTCTTCCTTCAGCAGTCATCTACAAGAACACCAGCAGCGTCTCGACACCACTACTGTGATTCCTCAACACCACCAGCAGCTCCTGTCGGGGGAATACGAGGATCTTCGCTGCCAAAACTAGACGGAGTTCTGGGTCTTTGCTGCAGTTCCGCGCCTTAATAACCCACAGGGGGTTATCCTATCGCATAAATACAAGAATTACAATAATGGAGGCGACACTGGAACGTGATGCCCACAAGCGTCACCAGGAGCGCCTCTCCTGGGTTCCACTGCCTCGCCACACTTACTACATATCTCATGCGTAATGAAGCCGGATGCCAGATAATGTCTGCTACTTTTTTTATCAGAAAAGAACTAAACAAAATAGAGATCCGTCATCTATTTCAGTGAAATGTGTAAAGCATATTTATGTGGAAATGTAAAATATATGAACAAATACAGGGCTACAAAATTAGATACTGTATCCTGGATTGTCCCCCAAAAATGTGCGTTTTTACAGATATATCCCAACAAACCCCATAGGAAGCCTAGAGGAGATGGTTTACACAAGTATTAACCTGGTAGACTCATCTGTTATATGTGTACTTACCGAGTTGTGTTTGCTGGTTTCGAGTCTTAGCTCCAAATAAGCCTCCATTACTGATTTCTAGTGTCTTGAAACTTATACCTTATATTGAAACTGAGTATTGAATCTGCCTCTTCCACTTCATCATCCGACTCAACTTTGCATAATCTCTTCTACTGGTCTGGTTTATTTTATTCCCTCTTTCCATTCTTAGAGCAGGGGTTCCCAACCAGGGGTGCTCGCACCCCCTGGGGGTGCGAGACATCATTCCAGGGGGTGCGAGAAGCGTCCGTTTTAATAACAGGAAATTGATTCATTTATTACTTATTAATATTCAATAATCATTTGATAGATAATTTGATGGAGGGAAAGCTGGAATCATCTGAAGAATGGATTATGAATCCTTACTCCTTCAATTTGGATAAAATGTCAGATGATGGAGAGCTGAAAGAGTATCTTATAGATCTGCGTTCAAATCGTGCTCTTGAAATGCAATTGGAGAGTAAAACTTTGGAAGAGTATTGGTGCTCGGCTATGGTTCTATTTCCAAGACTTTGCGAAACTGTACTAACTGTGCTCATTCCATTTGCGACAACTTACTTATGTGAATCAGGATTTAGTACTCTTTTGTCAATTAAGACAAAATCTAGAAATCGTTTGAGTGCACAGGCAGACATGCGTGTTGCTATAAGCAACACAGTTCCCCGTTTTGAAAAACTCACAAGCAAGAAACAGGAACAAAAGAGCCACTGAATTAAAATGGATTCGCAAACTTTTTGGAAGTCAGCCTTTTGATTTTATTATCTTGTACATATTTAAAGAAAGTGACTATTTTTTGGTATATTCAAATGTTAATCGGAGACATACTTTCTTGTCCATATGTTTGATTTTTTTACATACTAAAAAAATAAAATTCCTTTCTAAAGGTTTGAAAGCTAGTTCTTGATTTGACTTTTTTGTATATATTTCAAGCAAGAGTTATTATTTTTGTAAGGTGTATTCAAATATCATTCTGTGATATGTTTCTTTTCTGTAGGTCTGATTTTTGTTCACATATTATATTAGAAAGTGAAATAAATATTTTCTTTTAATAAAATTTAGTATGATTCCACATTCTTTATCCTTGAACAAAGTTTAAATTGTAGGGGGTGCGAGGTTAGAGCAAAAATTTTATAGGGGTGCGGGAGTAAGGAAAGGTTGGGAACCACTGCTCTAGAGTATTGCCAAATGTGCAAAATTTAGCAATGAATGGCCACTGGCTCCTAGTTTACCTTCATTTTTATGTCTTATGTATGCATTTTAAGGTAAAATCTATGTTCGATCATACTGATTCAATCCAGGGATTTCTTTGACCTGTGATAAGAACTTTTGATTATTTAGTTTCAGCGTTGCAGTAGCCTTTTCTGGATTCATGTTTTACTGAATAAAATACCCTGCGAATAGTGGCGTTGTGATTTTCTACTAAACATTATGTAGTATAATTTTCTCTGGTATATCTCTTCTGGTTGAGTTTTTGGTATTGTTCTCCAGCTCTTCATAGTAGGAAAAAGAGGGGATGATGAGGAGGGAGGACTGTAAATCGCTGCTGCTATTACCGTGAACATTCCAACTGTTATTTAGCCTATGTGGTCACATCATAAAACTCACTGAAATTCAAGTTTTTTAACTCAAAACTCCACTGGCTCTTGACCACTGATGCTATACCTAAGTTTACTTTCTTCTCTGTATGAGGTACCCACCTCATACAGAGAATAATATATTTTTAGCAATAATGGTAGAATTACCGACAAAATGGCTTGACAAGCCTCCTGGAGACCGAAACGTTGCCACAGTAAAATATATATGTATATAGTAGGTAGTAGGTTGGTAGACAGCAACCACCCAGGGAGGTACTACCGTCCTGCCAAGTGAGTGTAAAACAAAAGCCTGTAATTGTTTTACGTGATGGTAGGATTGCTGGTGTCTTTTGTCTGTCTCATAAATATGCAAGATTACAGGTATGTCTTGCTACTTCTACTTACACTTAGGTCACACTACACATACATGTACACGTTTATTTATACACACTCATCTGAGTTTTCTTTGATTTTATCTTAATAGTTCTTGGTCTTATTACTTTTCCTTTTTTAATCCATGGGGAAGTGGAAAAGAATCTTTCCCCCATAAGCCATGCGTGTTGTAAAAGTCAACTAAAATCCCGGGGAACAATGGGCTAGTAACCTTTTCCTGTAAAGATTACTAAAAGAATAAGAAGAAGAAAATTGTCAAAGGGGAAGTCTGAATGTGCGGGGATGTTGTGCAAATGATAAAAAAGATATGATTGTGGATGTTATGAATGAGAAGAAGCTGGATGTCCTGGCTTTAAGTGAAACAAAGCTGAAGAGGGTGGGAGAGTTTCAATGAAGAGGGAATAAATGAGATTGGGTTTCAGGGGTTTTAAATAAAATTTTAGAGCTAAAAAAGGGAAAGTAGCAATAATGTTAAAGGGATAAGCTATGGCAGGAAAAGAGGGACTATAAATGTATTAATTAAAGGATTATGTGGAGTAAAGTAAAGATTGGATGTGAAAAGGGGGTTATAGTAAGCGTGTATGCCCCTGGAAAGAGAGAAGTGTAGAGGAGAGAGAGAGAGATTTTGGGAAATTTTGAGTGAATACGGGGGGAGTTTTGAATCAAGTGTGAGAGAAAATGGTGGTTGGGGATTTCAATGCTAAAGTGGGTAAAAATGTTATGGAGGGAGTTGTGGGTTTAAATTTGGGGTTGCCGGGGGGTAAATGTAAATGGGGAGCCTTTAATTGAGCTATGTGTAGAAAGAGATTTGAAAAAGATGATAAATAAATATACAAGGTATGATGTAGCACGTAATGAAAGTAGCTTGTTAGATTATGTATTGGTGGATAAAAGGTTGATGGGTAGGCTCCAGGATGTACATGTTTTATAGAGGGGGAACTGATATATCGGATCATTATTTAGTTGTAGCTACAGTTAGAGTAAGAGGTAGATGGGAAAAGAGGAAGGTGGCAACAAGTAAGAGGGAGGTGAAAGTGTTTTAAACTAAGGGAGGAGGAAGTTCGGGTGAGAAATAACGACTATTGGCAGAAAGGTGGGCTAGTGCAAAGATGAGTAGTGGGGGGGGGGGTTTTAAAAAGGGTTGGAATAGTTTTAAAAATGCAGTTTAGAATGTGGGGCAGAAGTTTTTGGTTATAGGAGGGTGGGGGCAGAAGGAAAGAGGAGTGATTGGTGGAAGATGAAGTAAAGGGTGTGATAAAGAGAAAAAGGTAGCTTATGAGAGGTTTTTTACAAAGCAGAAGTGTTATAAGAAGAGCAGAGTATATGGAGAGTAAAAGAAGGTAAAAGAGAGTGGTGAGGAGTGCTAAAGGAGAGCAGATGATAGAGTGGGAGAGGCACTGTCAAGAAATTTAATGAAAAAAAGAAAAATTTTTGGAGTTAAACAGGTTAAGAAAGCCTAGGGAAAGTATGGATTTGTCAGTTAAAAACAGAGTAGGGGAGTTAGTAGATGGGGAGAGGGACGTATTAGGTAGATGGCGAGAATATTTTGAACTTTTAAATGTTGAGGAAGAAAGGGAGGCGGTAATTTCATGCACTGGCCAGGGAGGTATACCATCTTTTAGGAGTGAAGAAGAGCAGAATGTAAATGTGGGGGAGGTACGTGAAGCATTATGTAGAATGAAAGGGGGTAAAGCAGCTGGAACTGATGGGATCATGACAGAAATGTTAAAAACAGGGGAGGATATGATGTTGGAGTGGTTGGTACTTTTATTAAATAAATGTATGAAAGAGGGGAAGGTACCTAGGGACTGGCGGAGAGCGTGTATAGTCCCTTTATATAAAGGGAAAGAGGACAAAAGAGATTGTAAAAATTATAGAGGAATAAGTTTACTGAGTATACCAGGAAAAGTGTACGGGAGGGTTATAATTGAAAGAATTAGAGGTAAGACAGAATTTAGGATTGCGGATGAGCAAGGAGGTTCAGAGTGGGTAGAGGATGTGTAGATCAAGTGTTTACATTGAAGCATATATGTGAACAGTATTTAGATAAAGGTAGGGAAGTTTTTATTGCATTTATGGATTTAGAAAAGGCATATGATAGAGTGGATAGAGGAGCAATGTGGCAGATGTTGCAAGTATATGGAATAGGTGGTAAGTTATTAAATGCTGTAAAGAGTTTTTATGAGGATAGTGAGGCTCAGGTTAGGGTGTGTAGAAGAGAGGGAGACTACTTCCCAGTAAAAGTAGGTCTTAGACATGGATGTGTAATGTCACCATGGTTGTTTAATATATTTATGATGGGGTTGCAAAAGAAGTAAATGCTAGGGTGTTCGGGAGAGGGGTGGGATTAAATTATGGGAAATCAAATTCAAAATGGGAACTGACGCAGTTACTTTTTGCTGATGATACTGTGCTTATGGGAGATTCTAAAGAAAAATTCCAAAGGTTAGTGGATGAGTTTGGGAATGTGTGTAAAGGTAGAAAGTTGAAAGTGAAACATAGAAAAGAGTAAGGTGAGAGGGTATCAAATGATTTAGATAAAGAAAAATTGGATATCAAATTGGGGAGGAAGAGTATGGAAGAAGTGAATGTTTTCAGATACTTGGGAGTTGACGAGTCGGCGGATGGATTTATGAAGGATGAGGTTAATCATAGAATTGATGAGGGAAAAAAGGTGAGTGGTGCGTTGAGGAATATGTGGAGTCAAAAAACGTTATCTATGGAGGCAAAGAAGGGAATGTATGAAAGTATAGTAGTACCAACACTCTTATACGGATATGAAGCTTGGTTGGTAAATGCAGCAGCGAGGAGACGGTTGGAGGTAGTGGACATGTCCTGTTTAAGGGCAATGTGTGGTGTAAATATTATGCAGAAAATTCGGAGTGTGGAACTTAGGAAAAGATGTGGAGTTAATAAAAGTATTAGTCAGAGGGCAGAAGAGGGGTTGTTGAGGTGGTTTGGTCATTTAGAGAGAATGGATCAAAGTAGAATGACATGGAAAGCATATAAATCTATAGGGGAAGGAAGGCGGGGTAGGGGTCGTCCTCGAAAGGGTTGGGGAGAGGGGGTAAAGGAGGTTTTGTGGGCGAGGGGCTTGGACTTCCAGCGAGCGTGCGTGAGCGTGTTAGATAGGAGTGAATGGAGACGAATGGTACTTGGGACCTGACGATCTGTTGGAGTGTGAGCAGGGTAATATTTAGTGAAGGGATTCAGGGAAACCGGTTATTTTCATATAGTCGGACTTGAGTCCTGGAAATGGGAAGTACAATGCCTGCACTTTAAAGGAGGGGTTTGGGATATTGGCGGTTTGGAGGGATATGTTGTGTATCTTTATACGTATATGCTTCTAAACTGTTGTATTCTGAGCACCTCTGCAAAAACAGTGATAATGTGTGAGTGTGGTGAAAGTGTTGAATGATGATGAAAGTATTTTCTTTTTGGGATTTTTTTTTCTTTTTTTGGGTCTCCCTGCCTCGGTGGGAGACGGCCGACTTGTTGAATATTATATATATTATATATATATATATATATATATATATATATATATATATATATTATATATATATATATATATTTTATATTGGTGCTGGAACTTCTACATCTCTTCTATTTGGTAACAGGTTGGTTTATAGTTGGAAAGTGAAGATGAGATGAATGGTGTCGATAGTGTGGGATGGAAGGACAGAGTGGAAATGAAAAAGTGGAATAAATAGGCTGGTGATGGGGAAGAGCAAATGGAACTTGGAGGAGAAGGTACGAATGGTAAGAGGAGAATAAAGAGGACCGAAAATGAACGAGCAGGAAAGAAAGGCATAATAAGAGAATGAGGAATAAAGGGATTGTGGGATGAAGGATGAATGGAAGGCAAATGGATGGGAAGGGATGACTGGAGAGATTTTAAAGGTTGAGAGTGGAATGAAAGGAAAGAAGAGATGGGAAGAGGAGTTGGGGTTACTCGTTAATACTGGTCTTGTTAAAGTGAGTAACGAGGATATTCTGTACTGTGTTAAATTAATAGATTATTAATTCAAATTAATTTTTCTCTTTTGAATTTCGGCCCTGGAGCTAGAGGGTTAAATGATGGGGTATATAATGAGAGAGGGAGAGGGGAATCAAAGAATTATATAGTATTTAAGGGAAAGGCAAGCCTTGATTATTCACTGGGCACAATGGGCACAGTACCAAGGGCATTCGACAAAGCTGGAGAGCGCTAAACCTTTCAGTTAATTTTAAAATGGGAAATCAAACTTCAGAATTTACTTTAATTGCATTACTTAATTAAACCTTTTTTTTAACAGTACATCTACAAATCTTGAAGTAATAAATATATATATATCTTATTTTATTAAATATTTAGTTACGAAAAAGCATATTACACCAGCACTTTTTTTTTTTTTTTTTTGCACGTTGCAGAACAAGCTTTTTGAGGGACACTCTTTCGCTTTTTGTAGCGCTTTATAAAGTTTTTGTAAAGCTGTAAACAGAGCGAAACGTTGTCCCTACAAAGGTTTGATCTGCACCTTGTGTCTTTTCTGAAGTGTAGTCGGTAACATGATACTTAAATCCATTTATTTTTTTTTTTTTTGTGAGGCACTCTATGTATACAATTATTACCTAATTTAAAATAGGTGAGATACATTTAGCAAGTCCCAAAAGAATCATCATATTCCAAACGTTTCATCTATCCAGACGAGAAGCTCGGGAGATATCATGTGAATCAGGAAAAGTACGCTCACCCTCACAACATTGAAAACCAGATCCCTGGTGAAGGCCTGCTGTAACTCCGTCAGCCATTCTTGAAAAGAAATGATTCGTGGATTTCGCCTGATGTCCTTTGGCCTGTCACTTTTCATATTGACAAGATTGACTGTTTTATATTTAGGTTTAGCCATGACGGTGGCGTCAGACAAAATCATGGAGGTTTGTGGAGGGCCAGGCCAAGTCACGGATGGTCTTGGAGTGTGTCTAGCATGGAGAAACATTTGTGGGGAAGTCTTCATTGACCCCAGGGACATATCTGAATTCTGTGACAACACATGTGGAAGATGAGCCTCTATAGGGTGTCTCCCTGATGCCAAAGGTGCTGTGTAGTCATCATCCACAAACACTTTTGCTTCTTTACGCTGCAGTTGTCTGCTGTTTGTAGAACCTCCCTCTGCATTGTTACCTGAAATAACTGAAGCAAAACTATTATTACATTCAGTGAAGGACACATAGCGGCTTCACACTTCAGTTTTAATATTATAATAAAAATAATAATACAGGGTGACCCAAAAGTCTGAACACATAGACGAAATTGCATTTTTGTTATAATTATACAGTATTTTTAATGAATAATATCTTCAACATGTTGTCCACCATTGAAGATATTATTCATTACTGTATAATTATTACAAAAATGCAATTTCGCCTGTGTCCAGACTTTTGGATCACCCTGTAATAATAATAATAATAATAATAATAATAATAATAATAATAATAATAATAATAATAATAATAATAATAATAATAATAATAATAATAAAAACAATTACTCAATGTTTGCCTGTGAATTATGCCAAAAAATAGCATTATTATATTAAATAGCGAAATAAATGTAATACAATTATGATGATGAAAATAAATTAATAAAACAGCAACATAACACCATGCCCAGCCCTTCTAGGGTAGGGTAGGTGTCTGAGTCCGAGCTCACAGCTCACAAGACTGTCATTCCCATTAGCCCCCTTGGGGCGGGGATGGCAGACCAGAGAGGCCTAGCTTGTGGCTAGGTCTGGGGACAGTTGGTCCCAAAGATGAGGAGGTACTTGTGCCTCCTCCCATGGGAGACTTAGGTCTCAGACACTCCCTAAAGAGGGAGCCAAGGCCGGGCCACCACTTGGAAAAGGCCCGGGCCGGGAGAATACCGGCGAATCTTTAATAATAATAATAATAATAAACAGCAACAAGAAAATTAAATAACAAATATTTCAAATTAAAATAACAATAATTGTTGGAATTTTGAGCAACTGTGTAGTTATATTATAAAATAAATATTTATTATCTTAATAGTATCTTGTGAGACACACTAGCTCACTCACGGGCCAAAGACAGTAGTAAACTTGACTCAGTGCCAAATTTTACGCCACTCTACCACACAATTTCTTAAAACTTCCTTCTCTCCTGCACCTTCCTCTTAATTTTCTCCTTTATATATATATAATATATATATATAATATATAAAATATATATATATATTATATATATATATAATATATATATATATATATTATTATTATCACACTGGCCGATTCCCACCAAGGCAGGGTCGCCCGAAAAAGAAAAACTTTCACCATCATTCACTCCATCACTGTCTTCCCAGAAGGGTGCTTTACACTACAGTTTTTAAACAAAAACATTAAAACCCCCCTTCCCAGAGTGCAGGCACTGTACTTCCCATCTCCAGGACTCAAGTCCGGCCTGCCGGTTTCCCTGAACCCCTTCAAAAAAATGTTACTTTGCTCACACCCAACAGCACGTCAAGTAATAAAACCATTTGTCTCCATTCACTCCTATCAAACACGCTCACGCATCCCTGCTGGAAGTCCCAAGCCCCTCGCACACAAAACCTCCTTTAACCCCCTCTCTCCAACCTTTCCTAGGCCGACCCCACCCCGCCTTCCTTCCACTACAGACTGATACACTCTTGAAGTCATTCTGTTTCGCTCCATTCTCTCTCATGTCCGAACCACCTCAACAACCCTTCCTCAGCCCTCTGGACAACAGTTTTGGTAACCCGCACCTCCTCCTAACTTCCAAACTACGAATTCTCTGCATTATATTTACACACACATTGCCCTCAGACATGACATCTCCACTGCTCCAGCCTTTCCTCGCTGCAACATTCATCACCATCTTCACACCCAATAAGAGCGTTGGTAAAACTATACTCTCATACATTCCCCTCCTTTTCCTCCAAGGACAAAGTTTTTTGTCTCCACAGACTCCTAAGTGCACCACTCACTCTTTTCCCCTCATCAATTCTATGATTCACCTCTCTTTCATAGACCCACCGCGACACGTCCACTCCCAAATATCTGAATTTCATTCACCTCCTCCATACTCTCTCCCTCCCAAACTGATATTCAATCTTTCATCACCTAATCTTTTTGTTATCCTCATAACCTTACCTTTCCTGTTTTACCTTTAATTTTCTTCTTTTGCACACCCTACCAAATTCATCCACCAATCTCTGCAACTTTCTCTTCAGAATCTCCCAAGAGCACAGTGTCATCAGCAAAGAGCAACTGTGACAACTTCCACTTTGTGTGTGATTCTTTATCCTTTAACTCCACGCTCTTGCCCAAGACCCTCGCATTTACTTCTCTTACAACCCCATCTATAAAATATATTAAACAACCACGGTGACATACACATCCTTGTCTAAGGCCTATTTTTTAGGGAAAAAATTTTCCCCCTTTTTTTCCTACAACTCTAACTTGACCCTCACTATCCAAAAAACCTTCACTGCTTCGTAACCTACCCCCACACCATCCTTGAACATTGCCACAGCCCCTCTTCCACCCGTCCATACGCCTTTTTCCAAATAAATAAATGCCCAAAGACCTTTTTGGGCCTAATCAAATATTTTTTCACTTATATTTTTTCACGTAAACACCTGGCCCACAACCCCCTACCTTTTAAAGCCTCCTTGTTTTGCTTCCTTTCCCCGTCTTCTCTTAATTCTTTCATAATAACTCTCCATACACTTTACCAGGTATTTCAAAGATTTTTCCCCCCTTAATTTTTGCACTCTCTTTTTTCCCCTTTGCCTTTACAAAGGGAAATTGCTGCCTCTGCCCAAACCCTAGGGACCTTACCCCTTCCATACATTTATTAAATAATTGCACCAACCCTCCAAAAAAATATCCCCCCCCTGCTTTTAAAAATTTTTATCTTTTTTCCCCATCAACCCCGGGTGCTTACCCCTTTCATTTACCTACTGCCCCACGAACTTCCCCCCCCCACAATGGCTCTTCCCCATCCACAAATGTTATTCCTCCTTGTCCTTACAGAAATCACAGCTTCCCTATCTTCATCAACATTTAACCAATTCCTCAAAAAATTCCCCATCTTCCATACCTTAATCTCCATTTTAAAAACTTCCTTCCTATTTTTAACTGACAAATCCCTTGTTCCTAGGGGTTTCCCTTTAAATTGTTTAAAACTCACTCCAAAAATTTTTCTTTTTTCAACAAAAATTTTTTGATAACTCTCACCCATCCTCATTTGCCTTTTTTACATTGCTTCACCCCTCTTTAACCTCTCTCTTTTTTCCATTACCTTCCCTCCTTGCATACTTTACTTTGTAAAAACTTCTCATATGCTAAATTTTTTCCCTTACTCTCTCTTTACATTATCATTCCAAAAATCGCTCCTTTTCCCCTCCCCCCCCATTTCCCTGTAACCACAAACTTCTGCTGAACCTCTAACACTACATTTTTAAACCTCCCCCATATCTCTTCGACCCCATTCCCTATTCTCATTCCCCATCTATCCCCAATAGCTTTTAATTTACCCAAAATGCCTCCCTTTTGTTTAAAACCTCACCTCTCTCTTCCCTGAATTTCTATTCCCTTGTATCCCATTACCTTTTTACTTCGTGTGCTAAAAACTAAAAAGGATCTGATATTCTGGGGGGCCCCCCATAAACATGCAATCTGAAGTCTACTCAACATTTTTTTACTACCAAAATAAAAAAAAAAAACTACTGTCATTTCGCCCTCATCATATTTGTACTTTTTTATCCCTTTTTTTTAAAATATGAATTACATAACTAAACCCTTTTATACAAGTTCAATAAAAGGGTCCCATTATCTTTACCCCTGGACCCAAACTTCCTACCACCCCCTCTCTAAAATTTCCTATTTTAGCTTTCAGGCCCCCTACCCAATTACTCTCTCTTTTGGGTTTTCAAAGGTCCTTTACTTTCACTTAAACATCTCCAAATTCTTCCTTCTGCATTCCTCCTTCCCCAGGTGAACCGCTTATTATGACCCACTTCTCGCATCAACCTTTGCTTTAAACCCATAATTCTTTAATTTTAAATTATATTCTCTTTTTCTCTTCCAAATTCATTTTAAAATACTGTACCCCTTCCTTTGCCTAACTTCTCAGATTTTCTCCCCGATTTAATCCCCTTTATTTCCCCCACTGAAACTCCCCACCCCCTTTAGCTTTTTTTCGCTTAGGCCAGGGCATCCGACTTTTTTTTCATTATAATCAGCAATATCTGTTTCTGATCCGCACTACATCCCCGCACATTTAGATCCCAATTTTTTTAAAATTTTTCTTCTTTTTTTTAGTAAATGTCAACGGAGAAGGGGTACTAGCCCCTTGCCCCGCATTTTAGTCGCCTCATAGACACGCATGGCTTACGGAGGAAAGATTCTTTTTTTCCCCTTCCCATGGACAATAGAAGAAAAAAAAAACAAGGCTATTTAAAAAAAGGAGAAAAAATGATGTATGTAATATTTCAAGTGCGGTCTGGGAAATATATTTTTTTTTATAAAAATATATTATATTAAATATATTATATTTTATATATTTTATATATATATATATATAATATATATATATATAATATATATAATAATAATCATTATTTCTCGTATTTTACTAGACCTCATAAATAAACCAAAGCCTGCCAGACTTGTCGACCCTATGAGATGGGGTTTTATTAATTCTTATAGATCTAGCACAATTTATAGATGATGGAGGAACATTGTCTTTTTAAAAACAAGAAAATTTAAACAAATGTGAGGGCGCACGCAGCAAGTTTTGGCCCCCAAATAATAAAAATTTTTAACATTTGATTGTTGTAATAGTGAGTTGAGCTGCTCTATCAAGCAGCTCAACTCACTACTGATCACATTTATTTGCTGGCAGAAGATTGAAGAATCTCTGACTGAAATTAATGTAATTCCAGCAAGCTGTTGTATATGTGTGCTTAGTTGCATGCAGTGTAAGTTGAATATCAGCAGGAAGTAACATTATCTATGTATATGTGAGACACAAAATATTCCGTATTTCCTAGCTCTGATACTTCGCCTGCCTGTGGAGATATGAGCACAAAATACTTGTGGAACATATTCACTTTTCCAGACTGGAACTTACTATATAAAATAACTATTTGAT